CGCCCGCCGCGGGCCGCTCTGCGAAAGGGCCGCGTCCTCGACCTTGGGGAAAGTCTTGTGTTGCGGAAGGTTCGCGGGCATGGTTACCCAGGATTTCGGTGGTTTCTTTGGTTCGCTGTAAGATTCCTTCTGGAGGGAAAGCTTTGTGAAAGCCCAGATGAGCGACGCAACGAAACGGGTTCGATTGCCCCGACATTCGCGCATAAGCTTCCCGCGTAAGGTCGCGCGTGAGCGCGCTCCTCTCCAAAGCAGCGTGCCACGCTGGCGGCCCGCGCAAGCCGCAGCATAAAGTCGCCATAGTATATTGCGCAAGGCCCCTTGGCATCGCTCGGACATGTGCATTTTCTCTCTCGGCGAGGACCTTCGAGGAGCATCCTCGACCATCTGGCAAAAAACACGCACTAAACCGAAAAATGCACGGGGAATGGACGTCCGAGCGACGGCAAGACCCGTTTCTTTTCACCGCTCAGATGTGTTCCTCTCGATCCAACAGGTTGCTGCGCGATGCTGGCCCTGCTCCTGGGGGACCGCATCGTCATCGCTGGGATCGGCCACGTGCGGGTGGCCGAGCGCCAAAGCCGAGGAGGAGCAGTAACAGTAGGAGGAGCAGCAGCAACACAGCCAGGAGGCGAGGGAAGGCAAGAGGGAGGAGGAAGAGGAGGAGAGGAGAGGTGGACGAGGAGAAGGAGGAGGAGGAGGAGGAGGGGTGAGAAGGAGAGAAGAGAAAAGAGAGAAGAAAAAAGAGAGGAGAGAGGAAGGAGGAGGGAGGCAAGCTAGGTGCGCTGGCGCCATATCTGGCATCCAATCCCTCACCACAATCCCTTCCCATTGCGCTGATGCTTCCCCTATCCGCGGACGCGTGTCATAGCCGACCTGGGATGTCACAAACCACCCCATCGTGCTGGGTACAAATATAGACGAGGAGAAGGAGGAGAAAGTGGCGGGTGCGAGTGGGGAAGGAGGATGAGGAAGGAGGAGGAGGAGGAGGAGGAGGAGGACGAGCACGAATAGCAGCAGCCGGAACTGGAGCGGAAGGCGCGGGAGGAACAGGAGAACCAGAAGAAGGCGGAGGAGGGGAAAAGAGGGGGGCGACCACAATACATGTTAGCCAGCGTGGACCTCAAACAGTTGGTTATTGCAGTCTACGCGGTGCAAGAAATTTGGTGCAATGCGTGCGATGCAACATATGTAATGCAAGCAATGCGGTGCAATCCATGTGGTGCAATTTACGCGGTGCAACCTAAGTAATGCAATATGTGCGGTGCAATCTATATAGTGCAATCCACTCTGCTGAACTTGAAGTCGTCATCTCCACTGCTCGCGCAAACATCCCACCCACCCACCCGCAACTTGGTTTGCAAAACCTCTTAAGACCGACTACGACGACACCGACGACAACGACTAGGACGACACCGACGACGTCTCCGACGACTTCGACGACGACAACGACACCGACGACGACGACGACGAAGACGACGAAGACGACGCCAACGAAGGCGACGACGCGGGAGGAGGAAGGACGACGACGGCGACAACGACGACAACGACGACAACGACGACAACGACGAGGGAGAAGGGAGGACGGCGACGACGCGAACGACGACGAAGGAGGAAGGGCGGCGACGCCGACGACGACAACGACGAGGGAGGAGGGAAGACGACGACGACAACGACGACGACGACGGCGACGAAATAGGAGGGACGACGACGAAACGCCGACGACGGACGACGACGACGACGTGGGAGGAGGAGGAAGGACGACCACGGCGACAACGACGACGGAAACGACCACGACGCCAAAGAGGACGACGACGACGAACACGAGAAAAGACAGAGGACGACGTAGGCGACGACGACGACGACGACGACGACGACGCGGGAGGAGGGAGGACGGCGACGACAACGACGACGACGCAAGAGCGCGCGTGCGCGCACGCTTTTGTTGAAAATACGTGTTGCGAAACCCTGGATTTTTGTAGGTTTTTTGGACGCACGATTTTGAAATCCTTCCGAAACCGATGGGTTTTGAAGGTGTATGACATACGCCCGCGACGACGCGCGCGTCTGCACTGCGTGTCAATTTTTGCAGAAGATTCTCGCGACGGCACACGCGCAAGGGCGGTCGACAGATTTCGACATGCGCGCGCGAAGCCCGTTTGGTAGCATTTTGTGAAAATCTTGAAAAAACTCATGGTTTGCTTAAGATTTCGCAAAAGCTCGCGCGGAAGCTGTTTTTGCGTTGCGAAACCATGTGTTTTTGTATGTTTTTTGGGAACTCGATTGCGAAATCCTTCCGGCACCGAAGGTTTTTGAAGGATTTCGGCATGCGCGCGCGACGACGCGCGCGCGTGCACTTCGTACCATTTGTTGCAAGGGATTCGTGAAAAAGTGCGATGTCAGAACAAAAAATGTCACCGCATAGTGTTTTCCACAAGGGAACTTCAGGGGGGGAAACCGGCCTGCCTGGGATGCTACGATTTCATATTTAGGATGGACGAGTGTGCAGAAAATATATGAAATCATATTATCCCAGGGGGAACCGATAAGTCCGGAGGGGGGGGTAGAGTCAATTCTTTTTTTAGAAAGGAGAATCTATGTGGTGGTATCTACGCGGTGCAACCTCTGCAATGCAGTCTATGCGGTGCAACGTATGCGATGCAACCTATGTAATGCAATATATGCGGTGCAATCTATGTGGTGCAATCTATGCTGTGCAACCTATGTAACGCAATCTATGCGGTGCAATCTATGTGGTGCAATTGACTACCCTGCACCGCGGTTGACCACCTCCACTGCTCGCGCAGACATCCCACCCACCCACCCGCAACTTGGTTTGCAAAATCTCTTAAGACCGCGACGGTGGGTACCAAATGGCACTTGGCAACGACAGCGACGCCGACGACGACAGCGACAACGACGACGACGAAGCCGCCGACAACGACTACGACGACACCGACGACGTCTCCAACAAATTCGACGACGCCGACAACGACGACGACGACGACGACGACGACGACGACACCTACGACGACGACGACGACGACGACGACCCCGACGACGACGACGACGACGATGACAACGACGACGACGATAACGACGCCGACGATGACGACGCCGACGACGACGACGACGACACCGACGACGACGACGACGACGTCAACGACGCCGACGACGACGACGACGACGAAACCGACGACGACGGCGGCGACGATGACGACGCCGACGTCGACGACGACGAAGACGACGACGACGCCGACGCCGACGACGACGACGAAGACGACGACGACGTCGCCAACGAAAACGACGACGAGGGAGGAGGGAGGACGACGACGGCGACAACGACGACAAAGACGGCAACGACGAGGGAGGAGGGAGGACGGCGACGACCCGAACGACGAAGAAGGAGGAAGGACGGCGACGCCGACGACGACAACGACGAGGGAGGAGGGAAACGACGACGACGACGACGACGACGACGACGACGGCGACGAAATAGGAGGGACGACGACGAGACGCCGACGACGGGCGACGACGACGACAAGGGAGGAGGAGGAAGGACGACCACGGCGACAACGACGACGGAAACGACCACGACGCCAAAGAGGACGACGACGACGAACACGAGGAAAGACAGAGGACGACGTAGGCGACGGCGACGCGGGAGGAGGGAGGACGGCGACGACGACGACGACAACGACGACGCAAGAGCGCGCGCGCACGCTTTTGTTGAAAATCCGTGTTGCGAAACTTTGTGTTTTTTTAGGTTTGTTGGACACACGATTCTGAAATCATTCCGAAACTGATGGGTTTTGAACGATTTCGGCATACGCGCGCGACGACGCCCGCGTCTGCACTTCGTCCCATTTTTTGCAGAGGGTTCTCGCGACGGCACACGCGCAAGGGCGTTCGACAGATTTCGACATGCGCGCGCGCGAAGCCCGTTTGGTAGTATTTTGTGAAAATATTGAAAAACCTATGGTTTTCTTAAGGAGATTTCGCAAGAGCTCGCGCGGAAGCTTTTTGAGCAAATCAGTGTTGCGAAGCCATGTGTTTTTGTACATTTTTTGAAATTCGATTGCGAAATCCTTCCGGCACCGAATTTGTTTGAAGGATTTCGGCATGCGCGCGCGACGGCGCGCGCGTGTGCACTTCGTCCCATTTGTTGCAAAGGATGCGTGAAAAAGTGCGATGCTAGAACAAAAGGTGTCCCCGCGTATCGTTTTTTTTACAAGGGAACCTCAGGGGGCTGATGCCGGTCCCTCCGGGATAATGTAAGTTCATACTTAGGATGGACATGTGGTCAGAATCGCATATGATTTACATACCCGAAAGGGGGGCGGATAACGCCGGGGGGTAAAGTCTACTGTCTTTGTAGAAAGGAGAATCTATGTGGAGCAAGCTATTCGGCGCAATCTATATGGTGCAAGTGGTTTTTACCCATGAGTTGACACATCCCACGCTCTTGCAAACATCCCACCCACCCACCCGCAACTTGGTTTGCAAAACCTGTTAAGACCGACTACGACGACACCGACGACAACGACTACGACGACACCGACGACGACGACGAAGACAACGACGACGTTGCCAACGAAGACGACGACGAGGGAGGAGGGAGGACGACGACGGCGACAACGACGACAACGACGAGGGAGGAGGGAGGACGGCAACGACGCGAACGACGAAGGAGGGGGAAGGACGGCGACGCCGACGACGACAACGACGAGGGAGGATGGAAGACGACGACGACGACGACGGCGACGACAACGACGACGACGACGACGACGACGGCGACGAAATAGGAGGGACGACGACGAGACGCCAACGACGGTCGACGACGACGACGACGAGGGAGGGGGAGGAAGGACGACCACGGCGACACCGACGACGGAAACGACCACGATGCCAAAGAAGACGACGACAACGAACACGAGGAAAGGCAGAGGACGACGTAGGCGACGACGACGACGCGGGATGAGGGAGGACGGCGACGACGACGACGACGACGCAAGAGCACGCGCGCACGCTTTTGTTGAAAATCCGTGTTGCGAAACTGTGTGTTTTTGTGTGTCCTTTTGGCACACGATTTTGAATTCCTTCCGGAACCGATGGGTTTTGAAGGTTTTCGGCATACGCGCGTGACGACGCGCGCGTCTGCACTTCGTCACATTTGTTGCAGAGGGTTCTCGCGACGGCACACGCGCAAGGGCGTTCGACAGATTTCGACATGCGCGCGCGCGAAGCCCGTTTGGTAGCATCTTGTGAAAATCTTGAAAAACCTATGGTTTTCTGAAGGAGATGTCGCAAGAGCTCGCGCGGAAGCTTTTTGAGCAAATCAGTGTTGCGAAGCCATGTGTTTTTTGCATGTTTTTTGGGAAAATCGACTGCGAAATCCTTCCTGCACCGAAGGTTCTCGAAGGATTTCGGCATGCGCGCGCGACGGCCCGCGCGTGTGCACTTCGTTCCATTTGTTGCCAGGGATCCGTGAAATAATCTTATGCTAGAACAAAAGGTGTCCCCGCGTATCGTTTTTTACAAGGGAACCTCAGGGGGGCCGATGCCGGTTCCTCCGGGATAGTGTCAGTTCATATTTAGGATGGACATGGTCAGAATCGCATATGATTTACATACCCGAAAGGGGGGGATAGCGCCGGGGGGGGAGGGGGGTAGAGCCTATTGTCTTTAGGAGAATCTATGTGGTGTAGTGGATGTGGTGCAATCTGTGCCACGGCGACGGCGGCGACGGACAGCACCGCCCGCAAAAGCCGCCTCTCGCCCCGAGCGGCGGCGACGGCGACGGCGGCGACGGGCGGCACCACCCGTAAAAGCCGCCACTCGCCCTGAGCGGCGGCGACGGCGACGGCGACGGCGGCGACGGGCGGCACCGCCCGCGAAAGCCGCCATTCCCCCCGAGAAAGCTGAGCCAAGCAAGCGCCCATAAGTGCAAGCACGGCTTGGGGAAAAATAGATCGGATGCAGAAAAAGTAGCCCGCGCCGGGGCGAGAGCGCCGCTCCGAACGCCGGGAGCACAGCGCTCATCCGAAACAAATGAGGCTCACGCTGCAGCGGGAGCACCAGCTTCGAAACCCGAGAACAATCATACTGCGAAAACACATGTTATAAGCATTATAACCAGTCTTGTGCGCAACTAAACAATGACGCGGAGTAAGGGGAGAGAGGAGAGTAGTATACATATTGTGTCATTGCAGATAGGAGAGAAGAGAAAGGAGAGAGGAGGAGGAGGAGGAGTAGGAGGAGGAGAAGGAGAAGGGGAAATATAAAGAGAGAGAGAGAGAGAAAAAGAGAAAAAGATAATTAGAAAGAGAAAGAGAGAGAGGAGGAGCAGGAGCAGGAGGAGGAGGAGAGAGGTGGAGGGGCAGGAAGGGGAGCAGGAGGGGGAGAGAGAGAGAGAGAGAGAGAGAGCCTCACTCACAGCCCCTACCCATCCTCTGTCCATCCCGTTCACTTTTCTCCCGCCTCCTCTCCAAAGCACCCTCATCCACACTCCACTACACGCCGCCCGCATCATCCTCCGCATTGGCGATTTCCTTGCCCCCCTCCTCATCATCAACCGAATACCCCTTAGTACATATAGTATCCATTGTCAACGTGGTCGTCGTCGCCCTTATCATCACCATCATCGTCATCATCATCAGCATCATCAGAATCATCAGCATCATCATTATCATCATCGTCATCGTCAGCATCATCAGCAGCAGCAGCATCAACATCATCATCATCATCATCAGCATCATCATCATCATAATCATCATCATCATCATCATCAGCATCATCATCATCATCGGCATCGGCATCGTCATCGTCATCGTCATCATCGTCATCGTTGTCGTCACCATCACCCCCAGGCATCGTCCCGCTGCCTATTCCCTTGTCAGCACCCCACTCCCTTATCTTCCCTCCTCACCCCCTAACTCCTTCCAGTTACACCTTCCTCACCCCATTTCTCCATCGTCGTTCCCCCCCCTTCCCCTTCTCCTCCCTCGCTCCCCCGCTCATTCTCATCCCCCCTCTTGCTCGTCATCAACCTCACCCTGCCTTTTTCGCCCGCGTGCGAAGCTCGACAAACTGAAGAACCGCACGTTGGCACAGCATCAACATCAGCAACACCAGTACCGTCTGTATCACCATGACAAAAGCGCCCCGATCCACATTCCTCCTCATCCTCCTCCCTCTTATGCCTCATAATCCTCCTACTTAGCATCCTCCTCCTCAACAGATTACACTGATTATTCTTGTCCGTCTCCCTCTTTCCTCCTCCTCTTCCTCCTCTTCCCCGTCCACCCCTCCTCCTGGTCTGCAAGTGGCATCGCGTGTCGCACAACCCCAGCAGACGTTCTCTTGCGGAGCCCTTTCGCGGTCTCTTGATCATTGAGTCCTGGGTTCCCCGTCATCATCCCCATCATCGTAGAATTTCCCCTCCTCCTCCTGGTCCTCCTCCCCCATCTGCTCGCCCCCCGGGGTCCGATGTCCAGATTTCTTCACAACGGGGTCCCCAGAAGTCTCGACCCATTCCTGGGGACTGGCTTTTCATCCCGAGCCGTTCTTTCCCAGCCCCGGGGCCCGGCGAGGGCCCCCAAAGAGGCCGAAGACGGCGACAAAAAAAATCCGTTTAGAACTCGTCCACGCGTCGGAGGTCTCGGCACGTTCCCCGGGACTCGACGAACGAACAATGGCGTAAAGAAAAATGCTCGGAGCTCTGCGCCGATCTCTTGCATCGGCGCTGGAACCCCCATCCCTGGCGCGCGGAGCGCGCCAGGTGCGGCGCCAGAGGCGCTGCCAGGGGAGGCTCTAGCGCCGATATTAGAGATGCGCGCGGATCTCAAGAAGTTCATGTTTGTGCCATTACGGTGGGGGCGTTGGTCAAGGAATGTGCCCAGGAGGCTCTAGACCCTGGAGGAGTCCGTCTCCGACGAGGGTGGCGGTGATATCCATGGCCACTCCACGATGGGAGTACAACTGGCTTCCAGGCACTGGATTCCGTGGCCGGCGCTTCCTTCTCCAACGCCCTCGCCGCACTTGTTCCCCGAGAACGGGGCCCAGACATTTACACCACCACCACCTCCCTCAACCCCCTCCCTCTTCCAGGAAAGAGGAGAGGAAGAAGAGGGTAGAGGAGGGAGGAGGCGCCGTCGTGGTGGTGGCGCACACTCCTGGGGCCCGCACCGAGAGAGACTCCCCTCGAGGCGGTGCTGCTCCCGGACAGCGCCGGAGCCAGGGGCGCCCCGCGGCAGCTCCTCGCCTGCGCAGGCCCCGCCGCGCGCGCACGCGAGCGCGCGTGCGCCGGGCCGCCCTGGGGGGCGGGGCGGGGCCTCGGGATTACCAGTTTGAAGCATATCCTTATCCCTATGTTTGACATCACCTCACCTCGATGCCAATCTTCAGGATCCCCTCAGTTTCTGAGGGCCTATCCCTAAGATTGTCCTCGCCTTTTGCTCGCCCATCTTAGGGATAGGGATAAGTTCGAGGCTGGTTACGGGAGGGACGCTGGGGACAGCCGGCAGGTAGTGGCCACGGCGAGCACGATGGCGACGACGACGACGACGACGACGACGACGACGACGACGACGACGACGACGACAACGACGACGACGACGACGACGGCGACGACGACGACGGCGGCGGCGGCGGCGAGCACGGCGGCGACGAGCACGGCGACGACGGCGACGACGCCGGCTGGGCTGGCCTCGAAATGCCGCATGGGTTTCCAGTTGGCGGTTCAGCGCAAGCGGGGCTCACTCGAAAACAGTCGGGGCCCTGAAGAAGGAACCTTTTTCGTTGGGGAGGGGCTCCGCGGTCCTTAAGTGTCAGCTTGCCTCAGGTTTTCCTTATGTTTCCGATAGGAAATCGAAGTTGAACTTATGGAAAAAAGGGGCCTCGTTCCTTATTTAGGGTTCCTTAGGTCAACGCCCCGACTGTAGGCGCGGGGGGTGTTGCGGAGGTAGGTGCGTTAGAGGTTGATGCTGGCGTGGGTTGTCTATGGCCAGACCTGGCCTCTAAGCGGGCTGGAGGCGCCCCTAGTGGTTCAGGGGGTTCGCGATGCGGGCCAAGTGGGCGCCGCCCACTCATCGGAGTCATCGAACCCCCCAACCAACTGCGGGCTGTTGTAACTCGCTTGTGCGTTAGGTTCGGCCAGATATAACCCACCTTGGCATTAGCCCCCCCACTATCCCTTCAGCAGCCCCCGCGCCGGTACAAGCAGCCAGGGCACCAGATCCTGCAGGATCCTGCAGAGGCGGACGTCGGTTGAGCTGGGTCTGGGAGTCGCCCGCGGGCCCGGAGGTGGCCTCAGATATTGATGCAAAGCCAGGCCTGACTGGACCCCAAACAGATTGCAGCGCGGCTTCTTCGGAATTGGCTGAGAGGGCTGGGCGCTGAGCCGGGCCAGTCCATGTCCGACGGGGGCGGGGGGAATCGGAGGGAGGCCTCGTCGTCGGTTTTCGGGCCTTTTCGGGGTGCGCTCTGGCAGCTGCGCCTCGGCGGGAGCGTTTTCCCGGATGTGCCCCGATCGTCCCGATCGTCCCGAGTGCCAGCAGGTGGGCGTATCGGCAAGCCAAGCGTCCTCGTGGGCCGCATGCGGCGGGAGCCCGCTATCCTTAAGTCGGGAATGTCCCTCTTCAGGAGAAATATTCAGAAACACTCCAAAAATAGTCGGGACGAATTTCCTATTACGTTTTCTCTGAGTATTGTTGAATATGTTTTGGTATTTTTTCATTTTTCATCCAGAATACACCTGTAGGAGGACATGCCCGATCTAACACTATCGGCTTGCCACGCCGTCGTCCTGGGTTTTCCGTCCTCTCTCAGGGCTGGGCTCGGGGGTCACAAGGTGCAGCGCCGCTCCCCTCCAAGCGATGCTTCGCGGCTGCAGCGTCGGGGTGGCCGGGGAAGGTGTCTGTTAGGCGGGCGGGCGGGGTGCGGACGCCGGCGCGTCTGCTCCTCTCTTCTCGCTGTTCGGAGCACGTTGGCTTGACGCCCCTCAGGCACCGTGGCGACCGACCTCTCACGTCTGCCTTCCTCCTCCCTCCTTAAAACGACGCGAAGATCCGGACAAAATCGGATCGGGATAACTCGAAATCTCTGAGAATCGGCGGGTTCGGAGGATGTATTGGGCGCCGCGGCCGCTCCAGAGCGTTCTGGAACGCTCTGAGAGCGCTCCGGAACGCTCTGGAGCGATTTATCCCGATCCTAGCCTTGTTTTACTCCTCGTCCGGGAGGACGGCAAACGCATCAGCGGGCCATGCTCCCAGGTGAGCAGCCATCGGCAGCAGGAGGCAGAGGAGCAAGTGGAGGAGAGGGGAGGAGAGAGAGAGAGAGGGCGGGAAGGGGAAAGAGAGAGGCAGAGATAGCAAGAGATCAACGGGCTGGTGTTGGAAAAGTTCTGGGCACTGATGTAACATGGTTCAATCCGTCAGTTGGGAAGCAAGCGCTTAGCACTTTCACGTCTCAACGTAGAGAACTGAAATGTACATCAAGAGCGTTCCGTGTTCTCTGCGTTCTCACATGCATTGTGATTCCCCACGAGGCCAATAGTATGATTGGCCCGTTTCAGGCCAGGTATTGCTCGTTGGTGTGTCGTTGTTCCCCAGTTTGACCTTTGCGCTGAAAAGCCCGTTCTGGCAGCCGCCCGCTTTGCAGTTACTGCATCAAGCCAAGCGTTGCGTCAAGCCATCCGCTAGGCACAGGCAGGTGCAGGAGAATGGAAAGCAAGGAAAGCGCGCGTCACAAAAAAAATCGAAACAACAAAAAAACATGTGACGCATTGAAGCAATAATGAAACACCCCCACACACACACACACACACCACAAACAAACGAGCAAGCAATCAAACCAACAAGTATAACATATTTGCGAAAAAAAGAAAAACTGACCACCACACCAAACAACAACATGAGCCACGGCAATCCTGTTCAGACATATTGTTTTTCATTTCCCACGTATCACTCAACATGTATACCCCAAACCCTCGCGACTCCCACCATCTTCATTTATGTGCCCACTGGGCGGGGGGGGGGGCGCGCTTTTTCTTCATGCTACCTCCTGAGCAAGCCTCGACAAGGTCAATCAGGTCTTGCGTGGGGGCCCTACCAAGCCGGCTGGGCGGGCAAAACACTACAACGGGCGCTTTCTGGCTCTGAAGCAGTCGACCTGGCGGATCCTACCAGGCGGGACCGCGGCGGACACCAACAGGCGGCCAGGCGGGTCCGGCGGGTCCGGCGGACGGACCCTCACGGGCAGTTAGGGCAGGCAGACTTCAATGGGCGGGTCGGGCGGGCGGGACAGCAGAGCGGCTGGGCGGGCTTCCGAGCGGTCGACCCAGTGGGCCTTCACAGGGGGGCCGGGCGGGCGGACCTTGCTGGGCGGGCGGCCCCTAACTGGCGGGTCAGGCGGGCAGGACATACATCTCGATGCCGTTGCCATTTGCGAGGGTGTCTCAGGCGAGCGCGCGATTCACATCTATGTTGCCAGGAAGTCTTTGGCGAGAGCACGATTCCAGAGCGGCGAGAGCGTGAATCTTGAATAATGGATTATACCAAATAGTAGGCAAGAGCACGATTCGTAAGCACATCCGAAAAAGCGAGCGCCCGATTCCTCACCAGCGTGAGCGCGATTCTTGAATAAATTCTGACAAAACCCCCGGCGAGGGGGCGATTCTTGATTAAATTGCAAGGGTGTGTCGAGCGAGAGCGCGATCCGTGAACAATTTGCGAGGAAGTCTCAGGTGGGAGCCATTGCTGTAGCCCGAGGGCCCAATGTCCAACAACGCAGTTTGAGCATGATGACTTTCCCTGACAAATACACGGTGCGAGCCTCCATTGGGAGAGCATTCCATTTGAAAAAAAGCATAGTGGGCATTGGCGTGGGGGACCAATGCTGATTATTTTTAGTAGTGAGAGTTCAACCAGTTTAAGGCTGTTCGGCCTTCGTTGCCCGCGTGTCGTTCAGCATGTATATCAGATCCTGTCCTCTTCGCGTACGAACATCTCTCCATAAAGGGGGTGGTGCTTCCCCTGCCCGCTTCTGGATAAACCCCGACAGGGTAAGACAAGCGGTTCGGGCGAACGGACACCGATGGGCGGGTCGAGCGAACGGGACGGTAAAGCGGGGGGTTAATGGCTCTCAAGCTAGCGAGTGGACGGACCGCAGAGGCGAGGAGAGCAGAATCAGGTGACCTGACCTGGGCAGCGCGGGGGGGCGGCAGGTGGAGCGAGGAAGATCTACGGGGGAAGGTCCGCGACCCACGCGCAGGTGACCTGGACAGTGCCACGGAGAGAGCTCGCCTGCGGGACGCAGGCGGTGTGCTGAAGGACGGCCTGCTGCACAGGGAGGCGACCGCCGCCGCCGACGACGACGTCGTCCGCATCCTCGGCGCCCAGCATGTCTTCGACGTGCTCAGACTGGACCCGGCCGGAACCTTCGACGAGAAGGAGGCCCGTTCGTTGCACAGGAAGTTGGCATTGCGGGTCCACCCCGACAAGCAGGCGGTTGCCGCCTCTCTGTTGCTGGTCTGCTGCGGGCAGAGAGGGGCAGGGTCAGTAGGTTTCCCTGGGGCGCCTCGGGGAGAGGCAGTGGGAGGGTCTTCCAGACCTCACGCGGGCAAGCGGGCAGGATCAGGAGTCCGTTCCTTCAGATGGGCCAGTATGGGCGAGTAACGTCGTAGAGCGGTTTAGTAGTGAGTGCGAGGGCTGCTGCGGCGATGCACATCATCGCCTCTCCCTCCTTACCTGATCATTATCGTGTCCGCCCCGGGTCCCACGGCTTGGAGCGTTGGAATGCGGGGGGGCAGAGACGGCAGTTCGCAGTCTCTCGTTTTATCTCACCTCTTCGTAGATGTAAAGTCATCCGCTTGAATCCATACTTAGATATGTGCTAGATATGGAAACATACATCTTTGCATATGCGCATAGAAAGCTATGTAGATGCATACACAACAGCATGTATATATGTATGTATATGTGTATGCGTGTGCGTGTGTAGTGTTGTTCCCCTCTCGGGGCCCCCGCCTTCCGAATACATATCTAGATATAGGTAAATACAAACATATACATACGTACGTACATACATACATATAGACATACATACATACATACATACATACATACATACATACATACACACACACACCGATGTACACACATACATACAATAGAAAGAGAGAGAGAGAGAGGACACGAGAGAGGGGGGGAAATGGAGAGAGAGAGAGAGACACACAGACAGACAGACAGACAGACAGACAGACAGACAGGCAGACTGATGGGGAAAGAGAGAAGGAGAGAGACGACGTTCTACATTACTACATGCGCTGCCCGCCCAAATCATAGTAAGCGGGAGATGATGAGCAGGAGGAGGAGGAGGAGGGAGGATGGCGAGCGACGGGAGAAGGGGAGGGACAGGCAGGACGAGGACGAGGAGAAGATAAAGAGAGGAGAAAAGGATGGGGGTGGAGCAGGGAGACGAAAGACGACGAGGAAGAGAAAGAGAGAGAGAGAGAGAGAGCGAGGAAAGAGAGAACGAGAGAGAGAGAACAGAAGAGAAAGAAAAAGAGAAGAGAGAGAGAGAGGAGGGGGAAGAGGCGGAGGAGGAGGAGGGTGGAAGGAGAAAGGTAAGAAAGAGAGAAGGGGAGAGGAGGGCAGGGAGGACGACCCTCCAACGTGACGGACCATCGCGATGATGGCAACGACGATGATGATAACCGACGTTGCTTGAATAACGATGGGTACCGCTGGCCCTGTGCAAAGCTACGGCACATCAATATTCGGCGTTCCCCCGCCTGCCGTTCTCCTCCTTCCTCCTCCGTCCTCCGTTGGGCTGTGGTGCTCATCAGTGCCGCACCGACCCACCCCCCGGGAGCTGCTCGCGCGACGGGCACTTCAGCGTGTCCCCGGTTCCGTTCGGTTCGTTTCGGTTCGGGGGAAATTGGTTCGGTTCAAGACAGCTCCGGTTTCGGAGCTGTTCGAGGCGGTTCCCATTCAGAGGGCGGTTCCGTTTCAGCCGGTTCCAGTTCGGTTCTCGGTTCTTGCAGATGATGTGTGCGCGTGTGCGTCTACATGATCATATGGAGGCGTTTGGAGGTTCAGCTCAACCAGGAGTCAGGAGGAACCCTGGGGCCAGGGGAGCCACTGGGCCCAGCTACCCGACGAGCCAGGGGAGCCACTGGGCCCAGACGTTACACGTGGTGCCCACGACGGACCAGTCGACAGCATCGTGCCCCCTGGACCAGGGGGCTCTGGCGACGGCGGGCGACTCCTCAGCGCCAGGATAGAAAACGCTTGGACTACGGTCTGGGACAGTACGGACCACTCACTCTTGGCATGGGTCATCCCAAAAGACAACTGGGAAGGCAAGGGCGCCGCCCGCGCCCTCGCCGGGCGCGCGCAGGACGGTGGGGGCCCAGCCCCGGCCTGCCGTCACCAGTTCGGCCCTGGAGGCCCCGAGAGCCCCTGGAAGCCCAAAGCGCATTTTCGAACCGTCCTAAGATGCGATTTGAGTTTTTCCGCCGCCCTTCCGTCCCCAGCGCAGCCCTGAAGGCTCCGAAAACCACCTGGAGGCCCAAAACGCATTTTCGAACCGTCCAAAAATGCGATTTGAGCTTTTCCGCCGCCCTTCCGTCCCCAGAGCAGCCTTGGAGGCTCCGGAAACCACCTTGAAGCCCAAAACGCATTTTCGAACCGTCCAAAAATGCAATTTTAGTTTTTCCGCCGCTTGTTCGTCCCCAGCGCAGCCCTGGAGGCTCCGAAAACCAACCGGAGGCCCAAAACGCATTTTCGAACCGTCCTAAGATGCGATTTGAGTTTTTCCGCCGCCCTGCCATCCCCAGAGCAGCCTTGGAGGCTCCGAAACCCACTTGGAGGCCCAAAACGCATTTTCGCACCGTCCAAAAATGCGATTCGAGCTTTTCCGCCGCCCTTCCGTCCCCAGTTCGGCCCTGGACAAGCAGCAAATCAGGACGAGGGGGCTCGGGGGCGCAGGGGAGGAGTTGGGAGCGGGTGGGATGGACCTAGCGCAAGAGTGGGCGTTCGCATCGGGCAGTTCCCAAAGGTCCACCTCCACGACCGGTTCCCGGTTCGGTTCCTGGTTCGGGCCCGGTTCGGTTCCACCGCCTCCAGTTCGGTTTGGTTTCGGTTCACGTCGGGTTTCTGACGGGTTCCGGTTCCGTCGGTTCTCCCTCGGTCGGTTCGGTTTTGCGGGTCGCGGCCTGGTTCTGTGGTTCATTGGCACTTCCGAGGACGGATCCGATCGGCCGACGGCCGATCGGATCCGTCCTCCGTCTTCTTCCGCCCTTCATCCGTCCTCCTCCGTTCGCCCGCATCTTCAGCACCGCCGCCGGGAACAGCGTAAGCATGAGCATCACCACCACTACCATCATGACCATTATCAACATTGCAACCCGCATCTTCATCCACATCCGACCCGCGCCATCGTAACAAGCAGTGCCATCTTATTCGTCATCGTCGTCATCCTCCCAGTCATCACAGCCGCTCTGTTCCGATAACTAAACTTGTCATCCTCCATTGACCCACCGTCACAACATCATCAAGCACACCTTACTCCTGATCCGCGTCAACATCGTCACCACCACCATCACTATCAGAACTCTCAACATCACCATCACCCTCATCAGCAGCATCATCATCCTCGTCATCATCAACATCATCAGCACAATCATCATCATCGTCATCAGCATCGTCATCGTCATCGTCGTAACCACCATCACCACCATCAACCTCATCAGCTGATTCCTTCTCGTCGTGGCCTCCTCCTGATCCTCCTCCTCCTCCTCTCCCTCCTCCTCCTTTTCCTCCTCCTCCTCCTCTTCTTCCTCCTCCTCCTCCTTTTCCTCCTCCTCTTCCTCCTCCTCCTCCTCCTCCTCGTCCTCCTCCTCCTCCTCCTCCTCCTGCTCCTCCTCCTCCTCCTCCTCCTCCTCCTCCTCCTCCTCCTCCTCCTCCTCCTCCTCCTCTTCGCCATTCGCATCACCACCACCGCCTTTGCATATCGAGTGGGGCCACGGAGACTGCCGCCTGAGAAGCGCCGCGAAGCCTAAAACAGATGCGGTTCTGCTTGGAGGCGCCCAAACCTCAGATGAGGAGACTGCTGATTGAGAGGTGCACCACTAGGAGAAAGGGAGGGCCCCGCTTGAGAGATCACAATAAGAAGTAAAGAGGCCCCCGCACGAGAGGTCCAGAAAAACTCTTTGTGGAGAAGGCCCCCGCCTGTGAGATTCCAAAAATACCTTCTGGGGAGGAGACTCCCGCGTGAGAGGTTCCAAACAATTCAGTCCATGGGAGGCGTTCACTTGGGAGAGAAACAAAAAAACAAAAACACGCGAAGAGGAAGGGGCCCCTGCCAGAGAGGACCCCCCCCTTCAAACAACACACGAAGCATAATCAGATGCTAGCCATTTTGGGCCCCAAACAGCGCGTGTCCATCCACAGGTGCTGCACGCTCGATGTGGTGCAACATAAGTTGTGCACCTTACGTTTTGTGCAGTACACGGTGTGTGAAATCTGTTGCTCTTGACATCTATGTGGTGCAATCTGCACTGTGCAATATAGGATGTGTTCCAGCTGCGTGATGCAAGCTATGCGGTGCAACCTATGCGGCGCAGCCGATGTTCAAAGAAACGCGCTGGCAAATCACATGGTCTTGCAAACATCCCATCCACCCACCCGCAACTTGGTTTGCAAAACCCATGCGGTGGCGATTGCGATGCATGCTTGGCGTTGGCTGGTGCACCTCTGCAGCCGCGCCAACCCTAGCACGCGCGCGCAGCGGCCCGCTAGTTTGGCGCCACCGACGCGGCCGCGGTGGCGCTGACCGCTGGGCGCATCCCAGCGGGCACTTCACTGCGAGTTGGCAATTTGGGCGGGCGCGGATTCATGGCAACGCCGACTACGGTAGATGCAATGATGATAGTGCCGGCGTTGGTGACGATGTTCGCACCGACGAAGGCGCGGCCAGTGCGGGCGCCGATGCTGATCACCCCGACGACGATGACGGCGTCCTCGCGTCAGTGATGGAGGTTTGGGAAGAGTTCGACATGCGCGCGCGGCAGACGCGCGAGAGTGGCCCGCATGGTTTTGAGTGACGGATCGTGCCCGCCCAGCACGCGCGCAAGGGCGTGCGCATGATGTCGGCATGCTGCGCCAGGGGTCCGTTTGGCAGAATTCCATGAATATATTGAAAAACCACAAGAGCGCGCGCAGGCCTTTTTAAAAAATGATGTTGCGAAACCATACGTTTGTATATATTTATGTATGTATATGTGCATATATATATATATATATATATATGTGAAAATACATATATATATATATTAATAAAATAAAAAAAAGGAAAAAGTTGAACTTTTTTTTTTTGAAACCGTTACGCAAACGAAAGTTGTTGAAGGATTTCGGCATGCGCGCGCGACGACGCGCGCGCGTGCACTTCGCCAAACTGTTTTTGCACAGGGTTCTCGCGACGGCACGCGCACAAAGGCGTT